AACGTTAAGACAAAGGTTAGGAAACGACACTTGCTGCAGTTTGTGTTCCCAAGCAGAATACAAATGGTGGGAAGCAGCAACAATCTGAATAGGAGCTGGGCCAGGTCCATCAAACACCAGTTAGCCCAGTCCTGCCTGGATTGCTTGTGATGGGTCCCACCATGCCTGGGCTGGACACTGCTGCCCTGTGTGCCCCAGGAGCTGCTCTGGGGTCTGATCCTGCACAGAAAGGTGCAGGAGGCGAGAGCCCGGCGAGCAGCAGGCGCCGAGGGCAGGCTGGCTATGCCAGGGCAGAGCTGAGCAGCGTTCGGTGGTACCGGGTGCGCAGCTCCGCGAGGAGCCCATTAAACTGAGTTCGTTAGAGTGGGAGTCTGGGGCTGAGCCCGGGGCAGCGGCGCTGCCGCCCGCACGCTAATCAGCCGCTGCCCGGCCACTCCGCAGTCCGTCATCTGCGAGCGGTGCAGCAGGCATCAGAGGCTTTGTCCCCAAATCCCGAGGCCTTTGCAATCAAAGGGGAATTATTATTCCTTTTTTTCTTTGGCTGTATAGCAGGATCAAAAAAACAGCTGCTGCTTTCCATTACCTTTCAAGTCTCAGCTCTCTCTATCCAGCTAGCTGCACTGAAGGCTTCAGCATTAACTCTTGCTGCGCTGCAGGCAAGCAGCTCAGCCACATCCCCGGCAGCTGGCTCCCCTGACCCCCCACTACCCCAGCTCTCTCTTCCAAGCCCCCGTTTGCTTTGACCTGCTCCAGTGGCATAAGCCTTCTCCCATCTCCCCATCAAAATTCCCTTTCTGGGAATGCTGCAGCCGACCAAAATGCTCAGCAGAGCCGTTAGTTCAGATACCAAATTTTCGCCCTTCTCCTGAGCCCCCCGTGCCCCGGGGCAGAAGGAAGGACCAGGGCTCGTGGGGTCTGATGGCTCTGGCAGAGCAAACTCTCCTGGTCAGCGCTTTCTTTTTTATTGCTTTAAGAAGTCTCATCTTTTTTTGTGATTCTAGAGTTTTTATCCTAATAGCTCCTTCTTCCAAGGCTTTCAATAAATAGTTTTTAGCTTCCCACAGCCTTAGCAGGGAACCCAGCTCTTGCAGCCATGATGATTAGAGGCCTTTTAAACCACGAGGGACCCGGGGGAAAATACAAAGTCTTAGGGAGCAACCATTTGTTGTGCTTTTTTTTCTTCCTCGCAGAGGTAAATTTCTAACCCACGGAGCTTTTAATCCTAAAATAACGGCAGAGGCAGAGACGTGAGAGCTCTTATTGTTCGGAGAAGGCTGAACCTGGCTGCAGTCCGTGCCGGTGGCACGCAGGGCTGGCTCCTTCCCCCCTTGCCACCTCCTCCCGCTGCCCTAATGCTCCAGCTGCTGCCCGAAGCAATGAGGACGGTG